AAACGGACGAGCCCCCGATACACGAATCACGCACATGCACGAAAATTGGCACACACCTCAAACATGCCAAAACATACGAAAAAGTCTCTTGGAGCCATATCTCAAACCCAACAGGAAGTCGGATATTTTTAACTTCCTGCGGCGAAAAAGTGGCGTTTTTGCCATTTCCAGGCGTTGTATTTTAACGAACTCCTCCTAGGGATTTTATCCGATCGACACCAAAATTGGGTTTTGTCATCTAAAGGCCTTGGCGATGTTAAATTGCGAAGCTTTAGAGTTTTCGTCGATGGGCGTGTCCGTGGCGGCCTCGCAAACTTTGACGATTCGCCACAAAACAGGAAGTCGTTATAACTCAGGCATGCATTATCCAATCTGCCTCAAAATTCACACGTTTGATAAGAGTCCTGACCTGAACATGTTTACATGCCGATATCCAGATACAGTTATAGCGCCACCTACTGGCCACAGGAAATGACAAGTTTTACAGTGTAACAAACTCCTCCCACAAATTTTATGGTATCAGCACCAAATTTGGGTTGTGTTATCTGAAAGCTCTAGCGATGATATATTGTAAAGATCTAGAGTTTTCGGAGAGGGGCGTGTCCGTGGCGGCATGACAAACCTCAACGCTTCGCCATGGAACAGGAAGTCCTTATAACTCAACCACACAAAGTCTGATCTGCCTGAAACTTCACATAGTTGATAAACGTCCTCTCCTGAACACATCCCCATAACAATATTGAAGTGGGCGTGGCAAAATGACTCGACAGCGCCACCTATATTAACTAAACGGACGAGCCCCTGATCTACAAATCACACACATGCACGAAAATTGACACACACCTCAAACATGCCAAAACATACAAAAAAGTCTCTTGGAGCCATATCTCAAACCCAACAGGAAGTCGGATATTTTTAACTTCCTGCCGCAAATAAGTGGCATTTTTGCCATTTCCAGGCGTTGTATCTTAACGAACTCCTCCGAGGGATTTTATCCGATCGACACCAAAATTGGGTTTAGTCATCTAAAGGCCTTGGCGATGTTAAATTGCGAAGCTTTAGAGTTTTTGTCAGTGGGCGTGTCCGTGGCGGCCTCGCAAACTTTAATGATTCGCCACAAAACCGGAAGTCATTATATCTCAGGCATGCATTATCCAATCTGCCTCAAAATTCACATGTTAAATAAGAGTCCATACCAGAACACGTTTACATGCCAATATCCAGATACAGTTATAGCGCCATCTGCTGGCCACAGGAAATTACATGATTTACAGAGTTACAAACTCCTCCCACAAATTTTATCGTATCAGCACCAAAACTGGGTGGTGTTATCTGAAAGCTTTAGCGATGATATATTGTAAAGATCTAGAGTTTTCACAGAGGGGCGTGTCCGTGGCGGCATGACAAACCTCAACGCTTCGCCATGGAACAGGAAGTCCTTATAACTCAACCACACAATGTCCGACCTGCCTGAAACTTCACATGGTTGATATAAGTCCTCTCTTGAACACATCTACATAATAATATTGAGTCTGTCATAGCGCCACCTGCTGGCAGATAGTAGATTGGCTTACAAATCAGCCCCACAATGTCTGATCTGCCTGAAACTTTACGTGGTTGTTTAAAATCCTCTCCTGAACACATGTACATAATAATATTGAGTCTGTCATAGCGCCACCTGCTGGCAACAGAAAGTTTGGCTTATAACTCAGCCACACAATGTCTGAACTGCTTGAAACTTCACATGGTTGATTAAATTCCTCTCCTGAACACATTTACATGCCAATATTGAGTCTGTCATAGCGCCGCCTGCTGGCAGAAGGTAGTTTGGCTTACAACTCAGCCCCACAATGTCTGATCAGCCTGAAACTTCACATGGTTTAGTAAAATCCTCTCCTGAAGACATCTACATGCCAATATTGAGACACAGTCATAGCGCCACCTAATGACAGGAGAAAGTTAGGCATAAATCTGTGATTTTCTCTGGTTCTTTTCATATATCGGCTTAAGTTATTATTGTTCGCTGTTCTTTGTCATCCGGAGTTCACCGGCGGCGGTGAGCCCGGGTGCGAGGTCCCTATCATCGCTGCTTGCAGCTTTAATTATTATTATTATTATTCTCGTCCGGAATGAATCGCGGTTTTGAGGGGCTAAACATGCCCGAAAACTCACGCAACTTTGCACACGCCTCAGAAGTGGCGAAAATTTGGTTTATTATGGGCTTCGGAAGTGGGCGTGGCAAAATGACTCGACAGCGCCACCTAGAAAAATTAAACGGACGAGCCCCCGATCCACGAATCACGCACATGCACGAAAATTGGCACACACCTCAAACATGCCAAACCATACGAAAAAGTCTCTTGGAGCCATATCTCAAACCCAACAGGAAGTCGGATATTTTTAACTTCCTGCGGCGAAAAAGTGGCGTTTTTGCCATTTCCAGGCGTTGTATTTTAACGAACTCCTCCTAGGGATTTTATCCGATCGACACCAAAATTGGGTTTTGTAATCTAAAGGCCTTGGCGATGTTAAATTGCGAAGCTTTAGAGTTTTCGTCGATGGGCGTGTCCGTGGCGCCCTCGCAAACTTTGATGATTCGCCACAAAACAGGAAGTCGTTATAACTCAGGCATGCATTATCAGATCTGCCTCAAAATTCACACGCTTGATAAGCGTCCTGACCTGAACACGTTTACATGCCAATATCCAGATATAGTTATAGCGCCACCTGCTGGCCACAGGAAATGACATGATTTACGGAGTAATAAACTCCTCCCACAAATTTTTTCGTATCAGCACCAAAATTGTGTGGTGTTATCTGAAAGCTCTAGCGATGATATATTGTGAAGATCTAGAGTTTTCGCAGAGGGGCGTGTCCGTGGCGGTATGACAAACCTCAACGCTTCGCCATGGAACAGGAAGTCCTTATAACTCAACCACACAATGTCCGATCAGCCTGAAACTTCACATGGTTGATAAACGTCATCTCTTGAACACATCCACATAACAATACTGAAGAGGGCGTGGCAAAATGACTCGACAGCGCCACCTAGAAAAATTCAACGGACGAGCCCTCGAGCTACGAATCACGCACATGCACGAAAATGGGCACACACCTTAAACATGCCAAAACATACGAAAAAGTCTCTTGGAGCCATATCTCAAACCTAACAGGAAGTCAGATATTATTAACTTCCTGCGGCGAAAAAGTGCCAATTTTGCCATTTTCAGGCGTTGTATTTTAACGAACTCCTCCAAGGGATTTTATCCGATCGACACCAAAATTGGGTTTTATCATCTAAAGGCCTTGGCGATGTTAAATTGCGAAGCTTTAGAGTTTTTATCGATGGGCGTGTCGTGGCGGCCTCGCAAACTTTGATGATTCGCCACAAAACAGGAAGTCGTTATAACTCAGGCATGCAATATTCGATCTGCCTCAAAATTCACACATTTAATAACAGTCCTGACCTGAACACGTTTACATAGCAATATCCAGATACAGTTACAGCGCCACCTGCTGGCCACAGGAAATGACATGTTTGACATTGTAACAAACTCCTTCCACAAACTTTCCTGTATCAGCACCAAAATAGAGTGGTGTCATCTGAAAGCTCTAGCGATGATATATTGTGAAGATCTAGAGTTTTTGTAGAGGGGCGTGTCTGTGGTGGAATGACAAACCTCAACGCTTCGCCATGGAACAGGAAGTACTTATAACTCGACCACACAATGTCTGATCTGCCTGAAACTTCACATGGTTGATGAAAGTCCTCTCCTAAGCACATCTACATAATAATATTGAGTCAGTCATAACGCCACCTGCTGGCAGAAGGAAGTTTGGCTTGTAACTCGGGCACACGTTGTCAGATCTGCCTAAAATGTCAAATGATTGATGAAAGTCCTCTCCTGAGCACATTTACATAATAATATTGAGTCTTTAAAAGCGCCACCTGCTGGCAGAATGTAGTTTGTCTTATAACACAATCTCCACACAATCTCTGATCAGCCTGAAACTTCACATGGTTGATAAAAGTCCGCTCCTGAACACATCCACATAACAATATTGAGTCAGTCATAACGCCACCTCCTGGCAGAAGGTAGTTTGGCTTATAACTCAGCCCCACAATGTCTGATTTGCCTGAAACTTTACATGGTTGTTTAAAATCCTCTCCTGAACACATGTACATAATAATATTGAGTCTGTCATAGCGCCACCTGCTGGCTACAAGAAGTTTGGCTTATAACTCAGCCACACAATGTCTGAACTGCTTAAAACTTCACATGGTTTATTAAATTCCTCTCCTGAAGACATCTACATACCAATATTGAGTCTGTCATAGCGACACCTGCTGGCAGAAGGCAATTTGGCTCATAATTCAACCACACAATGTCCGATCAGCCTGAAACTTCACATGGTGGATAAAAGTCCTTTCCTGAACACATCTACATAATAATATTGAGACACAGTTATAGCGCCACCTGCTGACAGGAGGAAGTTTGGCATAAATCTGTGATTTTCTCAGGTTCTTTATATATATCGCCATAAATTAATATTGTTCGATGTACTCTGTCATCCTGAGGCCACCGGGCGGTGGTGAGCCCGGGTGCGAGGTCCCTATCATCGCTGCTTGCAGCTTTAATTTGGTTTTGTTTTTCATTTCATTTCGTTTTGTTTAGTTTTTAATTTCATTTGGTTTCATTTTGATTTTTTTTGTTTAGTTTTTTGTTTCATTTCGTTTTTCGTTTAATTTTGTTTTATTTTTTTTCTTTTCGTTTAGTTTAGTTTCATCTTGTTTTTTGTTTCCTTTTGTTTTTTGTTTCATTTTATTTTTCTTTTTGTTTTGCTTCGTTTTTCCTTTCGTTTCATTTAGTTTTTTGTTTTATTTAGTTTAATTTTGTTTTTAAAGCCCAGATTTTATAACATGTAAACCTCACCCTGCATTTGAACATATCACAGAAGAGCTGAAGTCTCAGTCTGATATGTGTCCTCTTTGTTTTCAGGGAGAGTGTCTGCTGACGGTCCAGCTCTGTGAGGATGAGTGTGTTGAGGATGAGGATGATGTGGAGTTTTACCTGCTCTTTGCTGGATCCACACAGAGACATGTGTCCAGCACACTGAAGATCAGCCATGTCACGCTGCAGGCCGTCTGTCCAGGTCAGAAAATATCAATAACTGTATAGTTACAGTACAAAAATTGTATGTACAGTTATTAAACAAAACTGTAGTAGTGTTAATTATAAACAACAAATGTCTAGAATTAAAATGCGTTGAGTGAAAAAATAATCATGCTTTCACAATTTGTTCGTATACAGCAGTAATTGTTCAATAAATCTGACTTGTAAACTCAAGAGTTTACAAACCAAAACAAGGTCTACCAGCATTTCTAAAAGTCTTCATTTTTGAAGGTCAAATACTGTATTAGTGCAGGTGAAAGACATAAAGGTAGTCAAAGTTCTGCATTTAAATCTAAATCACATCAGTATAAACGCAGCCACACACAACGCATTCCACATACAGTATTTTATCAATGTTTGATGGTTGTCAAGAGTCTTCCTGGAAGCAGACGCTCATTACCTGCAGAGATCGACTCATTTACATTCCAGTCATGCCGGGATTCTTTTGGCAAGTTGTTGCCTTGCCCAATTATTCACCCGGCTGAAATTGCCCCAGTTACCAAAGGACAAGCTCTGGTGCTGGAGCTAATGTGAATGTCCCAGCACTGTTCTGGAGATTCATGTTCTGTGTTTACGTTCAGTGGCCCGTAATGGACAGGCACATTCTTGCTCCATGTAGGAATATGTGGAAAGAGGTGAGAGGAAATAAATTGAGAGTCTGTGAAAATATACACATTTTTTGTTATTAGGGTGTAATTAGAGTTGAGAGAGTCTGTAAACACAAGTGGAATGAATGGATCCAGTTTATATGACTTTAATATAGCTATGAACAAATACTGTTACTGAGGGGATTCTTTTCTCAATCAGGTTTAGTTTGTTATCAGGTTCTCAATATTATGTTTGTTTACCTTCGTTTGTTCTTTCGCTCTGTTGTTCTATCATTGTTTTGTGTTTTTCTCTTGTTTGTTTCTTTCATTTTTTGTTTTTCTTTTTTGTTTTGTTTATTAGGGACCGAGCACCGAAACGGTGCGTAGGCCCTATTGGAATTGCTCTGTTTATTAGGGACCGAGCACCGAAACGGTGCGTAGGCCCTATTGGAATTGCTCCGTTTATTATTATTATTATTATTATTATTATTATTATTATTATTATTATTATTCTCCTCCGGAATGAATCGCGATTTTGAGGGGCTAAACATGCCCGAAAACTCACGCAACTTTGCACACGCCTCAGAAGTGGCGAAAATTTACGTTTGTTAAGGGCTTCGGAAGTGGGCGTGGCAAAATGACTCGACAGCGCCACCTAGAAAAATTAAACGGACGAGCCCTCGATCCACGAATCACGCACATGCACGAAAATTGGCACACACCTCAAACATGCCAAAACATACGAAAAAGTCTCTTGGAGCCATATCTCAAACCCAACAGGAAGTCGGATATTTTTTACTTCCTGCGGCGAAAAAGTGGCGTTTTTGCCATTTCCAGGCGTTGTACTTTAACGAACTCCTCCTAGGGATTTTATCCGATCGACACCAAAATTGGGTTTTGATATCTAAAGGCCTTGGCGATGTTAAATTGCGAAGCTTTAGAGTTTTCGTCGATGGGCGTGTCCGTGGCGGCCTCGCAAACTTTGACGATTCGCCACAAAACAGGAAGTCGTTATAACTCAGGCATGCATTATCCGATCTGCCTCAAAATTCATACGCTTGATAAGCGTCCTGACCTGAACACGTTTACATGCCAATATCCAGATACAGTTACAGCGCCACCTGCTGGCCACAGGAAATGACATGATTTACGGAATTATAAACTCCTCCCACAAATTTTATCGTATCAACACCAAAATTGAGTGGTGTCATCTGAAAGCTCTAGCGATGATATATTGTAGAGATCTAGAGTTTTCGCAGAGGGGCGTGTCCGTGGCGGTATGACGAACCTCAACGCTTCGCCATTGACCAGGAAGGCTTTATAACTCAACCACACAATGTCTGCTCTGCCTGAAACTTCACATGGTTGATAAAAGTCCTCCCCTGAACACATCCCCATAACAATATTGAAGTGGGCGTGGCAAATAGACTCGACAGCGCCACCTACCATAATTAATCGGACGAGCCCCTGATATACGAATCACACACATGCACGAAAATTGGCACACACCTCAAACATGCCAAAACATAGGAAAAAGTCTCTTGGAGCCATATCTCAAACTCAACAGGAAGTCTGATATTTTTAACTTCCTGCTGTAAAAAAGTGGCGTTTTTGCCATTTTCAGGCATTGTATTTTAACAAACTCCTCCTAGGGATTTTATCCAATCAACACCAAAATTGGGTTTTGTCATCTTAAAGCCTTGGTGATGATAAATTGCGAAGCTTTAGAGTTTTCATCGATGGGCGTGTCCGTGGCGGCCTCGCAAACTTTGATGATTCGCCACAAAACAGGAAGTCGTTATGACTCAGGCATGCAATATTCGATCTGCCTCAAAATTCACACATTTAATAAGAGTCCTGACCTGAACAGGTTTACGTGCCGATATCCAGTTACAGTTATAGCGCCATCTGCTGGCCACAGGAAATGACATGTTTGACACTATAACAAACTCCTACCACAAACTTTCCCGTATCAGCACCAAAATAGAGTGGTGTCATCTGAAAGCTCTAGCGATGATATATTGTAAAGATCTAGAGTTTTTGCAGAGGGGCGTGTCTGTGGTGGCATGACAAACCTCAACGCTTCGCCATGGAACAGGAAGTCCTTATAACTCTACCACACAAAGTCCGATCTGCCTGAAACTTCACATGGTTGATGAAAGTCCTCTCCTGAGCACATCTACATAATAATATTGAGTCATAGTCATAGCGCCAACTGCTGGCAGAAGGAAGTTTGGCTTGTAACTCGGCCACACAATGTCAGATCTGCCTAAAATGTCACATGGTTGATGAAAGTCCTCTCCAAAACACATCTACATAATAATATTGAGTCAATCATAACGCCACCTGCTGGCAGACGGTAGTTTGGCTTATAACTCAGCCACACAATGTCCCATGTGCCTGAAACTTTACATGGTTGATAAGATTCCTCTCTGGAAGACATCTACATGCGAATCTTAAGTCACAGTTATAGCGCCACCTGCTGACAGATGGTAGTTTGCAGTATAACTCAACCACACAAAGTCCGATCTGGCTGAAACTTCACAAGTTTGATAAAAGTCCTCTCCTGAACACATCTACATAACAACATTGAGTCTGTCATAGCGCCACCTGCTGACAAAAGGCAGTTTGGCTTATAACTCAGCCAAACAATGTCCGATCTGCCTGAAACTTCACATGGTTGATAAGTTTCCTCTCCTGAAGACATCTACATGCCAATCGTGATTCACAGTTATAGCGCCACCTGCTGACAGGAGGAAATTTGGCATAAATCTGTTATTTTCTCAGATTTTTTTATTATATCGGCTTAAATTATTACTGTTCGCTGTTCTCTGTCATCCTGAGGCCACCGGGCGGCGGTGAGCCCGAGTGCGAGGTCCCTATCATCGCTGCTTGCAGCTTTAATTATTATTCTTCTTCTTCTTCTTCTTCTTCTTCCGCGGAATGAATCGCGGTTTTGAGGGGCTAAACATGCCCGAAAACTCACGCAACTTTGCACACGCCTCAGAAGTGGCGAAAATTTACATTTGTTATGGGCTTCGGAAGTGGGCGTGGCAAAATGACTCGACAGCGCCACCTAGAAAAATTAAACGGACGAGCCCCCGATATACGAATCACGCACATGCACGAAAATTGGCACACACCTCAAACACGCCAAAACATACGAAAAAGTCTCTTGGAGCCATATCTCAAACCCAACAGGAAGTCGGATATTTTTGACTTCCTGCGGCGAAAAAGTGGCATTTTTGCCATTTCCAGGCGTCGTATTTTAACGAACTCCTCCTAGGGATTTTATCCGATCGACACCAAAATCGGATTTTGTCATCTAAAGGCCTTGGCGATGTTAAATTGCGAAGCTTTAGAGTTTTCATCGATGGGCGTGTCCGTGGCGGCCTCTCAAACTTTGACGATTCGCCACAAAACAGGAAGTCGTTATAACTCAGGCATGCATTATCAGATCTGCCTCAAAATTCACACGCTTGATAAGCGTCCTGACCTGAACACGTTTACATGCCAATATCCAGATACAGTTACAGCGCCACCTGCTGGCCACAGGAAATGACATGATTTACGGAGTTATAAACTCCTCCCACAAATTTTATCGTATCAACACTAAAATTGAGTGGTGTTATCTGAAAGCTCTAGCGATGTTATATTGTGAAGATCTAGAGTTTTCGCAGAGGGGCGTGTCTGTGGCGGTATGACAAACCTCAACGCTTCGCCATGGAACAGGAAGTCCTTATAACACAACCACACAATGTCCGATCTGCCTGAAACTTCACATGGTTGATAAACGTCATCTCTGGAACACATCCACATAACAATATTGAAGTGGGCGTGGCAAAATGACTCGACAGCGCCACCTAGAAAAATTAAATGGACGAGCCCCCGATCTACGAATCATGCACATGCACAAAAATTGGCACACACCTCAAACATGGCAAAACATACGAAAAAGTCTCTTGGAGCCATATCTCAAACCCAACAGGAAGTCGGATATTTTTAACTTCCTGTGGCGAAAAAGTGGCATTTTTGCCATTTCCAGGCGTCGTATTTTAACGAACTCCTCCTAGGGATTTTATCCGATCGACACCAAAATCGGATTTTGTCATCTAAAGGCCTTGGCGATGTTAAATTGCGAAGCTTTAGAGTTTTCATCGATGGGCGTGTCCGTGGCGGCCTCTCAAACTTTGACGATTCGCCACAAAACAGGAAGTCGTTATAACTCAGGCATGCATTATCAGATCTGCCTCAAAATTCACACGCTTGATAAGCGTCCTGACCTGAACACGTTTACATGCCAATATCCAGATACAGTTACAGCGCCACCTGCTGGCCACAGGAAATGACATGATTTACGGAGTTATAAACTCCTCCCACAAATTTTATCGTA